CCCCCCCCCCCCCCCATTTTCCCTGGTAGGCTCATGAGCTATTTGCCCCACCTTATACTCCTCTCTTACCATATCCTCACTGGTTCACTTTCCTACACCCCTAATCATGAGCTGCTGCATAAAAACTTCTGTTCACCCCCCTCCCAGTCCTGTCTGGGAGCCCAGGAATAAATCCATCCTGTTCCACCCCAAGCCCCGTGTCATGGCTGCGTGTCCCCATGGATAGCTGGGATTGCAGAGCTCGCAGGGAACAGTCGCACCCCTGCTGCAGCCGCCCTGCACACACTGCAACATGCATCCCTTGTGTTATCTAACCTGGAACATCTGAAAATAATAGAACTATGAATTCGGATCTTTCCTTCTTCTTGCAGGACATGTCTGGGAGGCAGAGGGGTGAAGGTGCAAGGAGGAAAGGAATCTTCAAGGGAAAGTGTTTGTCTAGCTTGTGGGCAACGGAAAAAAAAATTATTTGATGCCTTCAGTCATGTATCAGAAAATACGTGGAAACCAAAGTGCCAGAAGTTACAAGACAGGAATTTACAACTGTTCCTGAATCCCCTGCATTCAAGAAGCTTCTCTGAATTCAGGATCTGTTATAGCTTTATGACCTGCAGCAGTTACACAACTTGCTGCAAAGCCAGAACGATGAGTCAGGATTGTGACTTCTGCTAAGAGAGATCTTTCCTGTGCTCTGTCAGTTCCAAGAGCAGCAAAGGAGATATTTACTAAACACGTCACACAAAATCCAATACAATCCATGGCTGGAGGCAAGCTCAACTTGGGAAGATTTTAACAAATGGCAGCTTTCCAGACATGATCCCAGCTCCCTGAACAGGCCCAGGGAGAATGCAGCAGACAGCAAGGAAGTCTGGACTCCAGGCAGTCTGTACATTTAAAAAAAGAATCCCAAATAGTCAAGAATGAGCCAAGAGGAACAGCATAGTCTGACAGCTGCCATTCCCCACTGCCTCACCACATTAACCAACCTCACAGCTTTTAAGCTTTCACAACAAACCTCCCCACATTTCCAAATTATCATTTGTATGCTAAATAACCAATACCAAGCTAAGTCACTGTCCAGGCAGGGCCAGCAGAGCTGCCCTCTGCATCCCAGTGGATTCTGGAGGAAAAAACCTCATTGCTGAACCAGCAAAGCTGCCCTCTGCATCCCAGTGGATTCTGGAGGAAAAACCCTCATTGCTGAACCAGCAAGGACAGGGAGCACACTTCTAGGGAGCACCAGGAGAAACACCACTCAAGAAAATCACTGTGAACTTCAGCCCAGAAATGCACATCAAGTTTTCAGGGTGCAACTCCTGCAATTTCCCCAGCCCCCTGTGACTGCAGAACAGCAGCACTGCTCAGCAGACGAGAGCCCAAAGCTGCTTTACACAACTGAAGCTGAAAACTGCAGTTCATGGATGCTCGTGTAAGTCAGTTAAACTATAACACACATCAGGGCTTTCAACACAGTTTTCCCCCTCATTTAAACATAGGTCTCCTAATTTCCTCTGAAAATGAAACAGGGAAATGCTGGCAAAAGAATTTCAGCCTGGAAAACTTCCTGTTGATGTGTGTTCAGAACATGCATTTTTTGACAGTTTCAAATCCAGCCTGATAAATGCAGTGTTCTGCCCAAATCTAAATATGCACACGAGCCAGGATCTGGTAGGCAAGGGAAAAGAAAAGGAAGATCAAGTCTTGTTAGCACTATGCTACAGCAGCACTGGATACTTTACTACTGCAAGTCTACAGTCCAGTATGGCTCTCACCCAAAGCATCACGCAGGAGGATTTTTTGTCCTAAGCATACAGAAGGAAAACAAAAATGTCATAACATTAGGATGAAAGTTAGATATAAGTGAGCTCTTAATGCTTAATATGAACATTTTCCTAAAGTTATGCTTATCAGGAATCCACAATATTATGGCAGTAGGAAAGGATTTGATTTCATTAACATCATGATGATCTAATTTTTACACTGCACGGATTGAGCACAACTGATTGCAAAAAAATACCTATCTGTGGTCAATCAGTACAGATCTTAATAGAGTGAGTTTTATTTCAAAAGAATATGAAGTGAAGAGAGTGCTTTAAGATTTCCAACATAGGCTCTTGCTGTCAGAAATCAAAGCAGGACCAGAAGAGCTGTTATCAACATCTGTGCATAGCACATCCTGTCCCCTTCACCAAAAAAAAAAGTCTCTAAGTTGAGAAGATGACTCTGCTCAGAGAAGCTATTCACAGAAATAAGTGCTGGAACCACATGATTCCCAAATTAAATGTCTATCTATTCATACCAAAGCTGCAAGACAGCGAGAACACAGATGTTTTGCTCAGATTCCAGCCCTCCACTTGTTATCCCACAATCTGAAAGCCAAACTAATCAGACTGACTTCAGCAGTAACTCTGGCCTAAGCAAGGTTTTGTCTACCCAGGAAAAACTGGGGTTTAAAACACTAAAAAGATAAAGTGCCCAGGATTTGCATTTAAAGTTCCTGACTCAAGTTTATCCTGAAGGCTCCATTAGGTATCTGAACTAGAGGTGCTACTGCTAATTGTCTTTCTTTTTTCCCTATTTTGAATACAGTTCAGCAGACATGAAAAACTACATTTCTCCTTTTCCCACTCCCTATTGTACTTTTAGTTTTTGGTATAATGCAAGTCTAAGTTGCACAGGTGGTGCCTCTGAGATACCACTCCACTGAGGAATGCCTGAGAGCACGGACTCCAGCCAAGGCTGCAGGAAAGGCAGCACCAGACAAACCATCAAAGCTTGAGTTTCAATGACTGTGGCCAACAAATTTGACAGACACTAAACAAGAAGCATCACTCACAGAGCAAGAGCTGCTCACCTGTGCAGCTGCTCTCCTGACCATACTCACAGACTAAACCAGGAGCCTGGCTGGTACTAAATGCCTCTTAGAAGCCAAATAATATCTGCATTTGGGGCTACAGAATGGACTGTGGATATTTACATCTCGACCCCAACCCCCTCCAGGGACAGATGCCACTGCATCCCGTTTGCACTGCATCCAGACTGTGTCTTCACAGATGCTTTGGGGTTTGGTTTTGCTCTTTATAAAACAAAGGTTTATACTCTGACAAAAATTGAAAACCAATGAAAAATGTATTTATCATAAAATTTCCTTGGCTAAGCATTTAGAAAAGGTTTTGGAATGCACATATTGCATTTTCTGTCCTAGTCAATTTAAGTAATTGGCTTCGCTTTCATCCTTCCCCCCTGCACACATTACCCACTGCAGCTATGGTTTTACCAATTTAACAATAGAATGCCTTCACAAAAACAGCTCCACAAGAACTTTTATAGCCAGAACAAAGAACTCATAACTTGCCTAAACATTAAAGGAAACTATAAAGGGGAGAAGGTGAAATTTATTCTGAAGCTCAGAGAACTGGAATACACAGAACAGCAAGTGCTTCATCTGTTATAAGTACATGGAACAACTGCTCCTGAATCCTGGGCTTGATCTTAAGTTCAGATTCCAGATAACGGGTTCTAGCACAGGGGGATCACCTCTCCTTTCCTTATTATTTTCAGAAAGTGATATAATAAATACACATTTTTTTTAAAGCAGAAATAAGAGGTATTTCTGAATTCCATGTAAGTTTTTAATTAAACCTGAGCAAGAACAATGGAAAGAAAGTTATAAATCTTACCTTTGTCCACTACATCCCAGACTTCAACTTTCACAATGTCATCAGTGGCTGGAAGCACAACAGAACAAAAAGGGTTAGAAGGTTTCAGTAAAACACTCATCACTCAGACAGCCCAACTCACAGCCAACACAGAGGAATGTTAAAGCATAGGAATGTCAAAAGCCAAGCAAATTATATGCAAGACAAAAACCCAACCACAAGAAGGCAGTGAGCTGTTGAAGGTGCATGCTGCGCACCAAAACCATGCTGTCTAAACATAAACACTCTTAGTCACATAAGTGATGGCTGGATTTCCTTGCTGGCTCATGTCAGGTTTGAAGCATGTTATAAGTATTGTGCGTAGACTGTTTTCGTAACATACAGAGGTTTAAAAAGCCTTTCAGAAAAGATAAAAATCTAGTTTTGAGGATAAAGTCTGGTATAAACAAGGCATACAACTGGCAAAATGAATACACACATGTAAGAAAGATCCAATCACGGCATTTCCATGACAGCCAGCACACAGTCCTGCAGCTACAGAAACCCATTCTCTCTGCGCATTTCCAAGTATATTTTGTGGAAAAATAAGGCCTCACTAGCAATTTTGCTTCCTAGAGCTGCAGTATCAATAAATTATAACCAGCAACATCTATCTGAGTTGCTAAAATCTGAAGCAAGACATGCAGAATTCTAACTCCAGTGATTGCTGGTACCCACAGGCAGCAATTCATGTTCAGGTGGTCTGAAGGTTGAGTAGCTCTGGATCAACATTTTCATGAAATACAAATAAGCAGTCTGATTTTCAGGAGATGTCCCAAGAAATGGCTGCTTTTTGGAAATGTTACAGGCTTTGAAGCAAAAGCTTGTACTTGGAGCAGCTTTGAATATAAAGCTGGAATAGGAGGACAATGCCTCAGAGAAGAAAATAACATCATAGGATGACATGAGATCTTATCTAAGTGTCATTATCAAATCAGGAAGCATTTTCTATACAGAACTCACTCTTGGCTTAATGAAATGTTTCAAAATATTGTACAGACAGGTCATGAATAAAGGAAAATTTTGATCCTTTGCATCAAGAGAAAGACCCTTTTTTACATTTATGACGGAAGCAAAATCAGCCTCTATTTTCCTCATAGTAATTCCTGCTTAACTTCCTATGTGCCAGCTGGGCAGGAGGCATTGGATGAACAGGAAACTCCACCGGGTCAGCCCAGGCAGTGCCTTCCAGGACTGAAAGCATGGGGCAGTACAGCACCCACAGCACAAAAACTTCTCCTCAAACCTCTACACCCCACTAATTAAGTCAGTCCCTGAATATTTTCTACAGATAATCAAACCAGGTAGCTAAAGTCCAACCTGTGATTCACTTACCTGGCACCCAGGTGAGCCAGCTCCTCCCCCCAGGCACTGGCACTGCAGGAGCTCTCCCTGTGCCCCTGCAGGCACTGGGACACAGATCAACTACTGGAGGTCTGCACCTAATACCTGCCCTGCTATTGGCAAGGCAACTGCAGTGCCTTTCCACAATCAAGGCTTGCTGCAAAAGGGTAAGAGACATTTGCCTTCCCCAAGTTTTGCATGGGCTCAGGAGGAGCCCAGGAGGTTGTTTGTTCTTTCCAGAAGTGCCATGTGAAGCATTACATCAGGACTAACAGTTCAGAAAAGGGAGCCCTTAGGGTGACCTAGGGCCTAGCACTGGCACTTTGCTCCTGAACTCTCCACCTCCTTCCCAGGAGCCAAACACGCCCTCCATTAGGATGTGCTGGCCTGCTGAGTGATTCCCAGAGAACTGACACCCTGCTGAGCAGCAGCAGTCCTGGCAGCTGGGGAGCTGAACCCCCTGACACCACAGACCTGCTTTACACCCTTCTGACTGAGGGGAAGGGCAGAATTTCTCAAAGAAAACAACTGCATGAGACCCAAGAAACACATATTTCCACATTTTTCTTGCTAGCTCACAACCAGGAAGTTCTTCCCTTTCATCACCAGTGTCACTCCTGATTATCCTGATCATGCAAGAGGATAATTGCTTTAGTGCTGCTTCCTTGGCTTTGGTGTGTGACTCATACCCAGCAGCATTTCACCCGAAGGAGCTCTGTGACAACAAAAAGAATGCTGATTTATCCTTTCAACTCCCTGACTTGGATTAGCACAAACCACAGATCAAGGCACTCCAAAGATCTGTCCTGAGCTGCTATTTCACTAGACACTCCATGGCCAGTGGCACACTGAGCACTGCTTTTCAACAAAATGATGGAGAGCCGCGAAAAGGCTCCAATTGCAAGAATGCTAATTTAAAACTAAGAATTATCACATTGTAGGTGGCTTCATCACCAGGAACTCACAGGCCCTCAGATATATCTTACTCTCATTCAATGACAGGATTCACTTCTGTGCTCTGGATTACAGATCCTATAGTGCAAAGCAACTCTGCCACCCCTCATACCCATCCTTCATGTCTTTGAAGGACCTGAGCACAACTATTTGTCAATTTTTATTTCAGACTCCCTTTCTCAGGCTGCCAAACAGAGAAAAACTTGGTGATCAGTATAATCCAAAAAAGTGTTCATTAGGGTCAGGAATGGTAATTCCTTACTTGGACACAAAAATTACAAGTACCAATTACAATTGGCACAGAAAAGCAACTTTATTAATTCTGAATAAGAAGTAACTCAGATTCTGCTACCTTTATTAATTCCTCCAGTATAAAATTTCTGAATGTGCTACATTTTGCATCTAAAATGGAATTCTTCTAAGACTAGGCAATGTAAGAATCCTTCAATATTTGATGATTAAAATAGCGATTTAATTAACATCTGTAAATATTTGCCAACTACCAACTACCTCATAATGTTTATTCAAGGTAGCCTGAGAGCATGACCATAGGAAAAACAAACTTTATTTTTCCTCTACAGATTAACATGGCCAAAAGGGCAGAATTTAGACCTGGACAAAGTACTCTGAGAGCCTACATCACCAGTCTTGGATGGAAACTTCTCACAGCAGGAAACAGACTTCAACAACATTACCTTTTGAAATGTATTTAAGAAAGTCAATGGAAAACATCCTAAATTAGTGGAAATTATTACTAAGACAATAGTACAGTGTTTTACAATGTAAAAGAAACACAAATAAAAGGCACAGCTTCAGGTACAGCTTTGCAAGTAGTTTTACAAGGTCAGCAACACTTCGCCTTGAGAAAAGTCAATCGGCACCTGTACACACTGCTGGCAGCTCTGGCTGGGGAGCTCTACAGAAATGCAGCACACCGAGGTTAGAAGTGGGCCCTAGAAATAACCTATACACCTGTGGGTCTCAGCATTCAGCAAAGCCAGCCTCAGGTGTAGGTGTTTTCTACCCTAGGATTGCATCAGTATTGAAAAAGCATTGTCTGAGCCTTGGCTCAGGGAAAGAAATGCAGATACAGGTGAGATGACTGGATCTTCCTCCAAACACCCTTTTGCATGTACACATTTTGTACCTGTTCATGGATACAGTTAGATATGAATAAGCCTCCTAAAATAAATGCCAGATTCCCAGGCTGTATCCAACACAGGTGTTTGTGTTACCTGCACCTATCAGAGAATAAACCCTACTCTGATGCTTTAACACATGACACTGCAGAAAGGCACAATTAACACTCAGTGATTCTTTACACTTGGGTATCTAGGAGAGAGGATTGTTTTTTCTTACTCTGATCTAAGTCTGTTTAGGCTGAAGCATTCAAATTCGATTTTGGAGATAGTTTCCACCATTCAACTTGTAAACTCTGTGTTCATTCCTCAGTAACTGATGTGCTGACATCCTGAGAGGAAGGAAGAGTGAGGGGAAGGATGCTACAGCTAACATACACCATTCCAGAGGTTTGGCTGCAGATGGGAAACACCTCTGTGTGACCACAGCAGATCTGCTGGTTGAACACATCCTGTGGCTTTATGAGCATTATCACAAGACTTGGGCATCATGGTATCACCTGGCCATTCAAATTTGGTGATGAATTAGACACAGGACTCAATCTGATGCTCACCCCACTGCACAAGGTGTTCTCCCAGCTGGGAGGAGTTGGATAGTACCTGATTCAACAGAAGATCAGACTGAGACAGATGAACAATGTCTGATAATGACAAACAACTGCTGACCTTTTTTGTACAGCATCCTCAGTCTTACAGAGCACTTTCATAATGAATCAGGAGCTCATCCCACAAAGTTGTGGCATTCTTGATTGGCAACCTGAAAGCTGGACTTTCAGGTGCACTGCTGAATCACAACCTTATGCAACTTCAGTGCCTGCATGTCTTTTCCAGCTGAGATGCAGGGCTTTCACAGCTGCTTGCAACCAGTAAAATAAAAATTAAAACCACACCTGATCACTCAGACTATAGCAACAACTTAAAAAAGGCACTGGCACTTCTGTGCTTCAGTAAGCCAGTCTAGAGCTAACAGTACTACAATAATTTTTGAAATCCTCCCCAGTCACCAGAATCTTTATATTTTAGTCAGTAAAATCCAGTTTGCACCACGTATCCACTTTTAGGCAACACAGTAACACCCAAAGCACAGTGGGCCTCAGATACAGATTTATACAACAACCCCTCCTCATTAACATGTCAAGTATATTACAAATTTTTCCAAATACTTCAGACCACCTATTAAACACTTCCCTTGAATTGTGGCTTCCACAGACATATTCTTTAGCACTTATAACATAGAGCATCTGACAAAATTAAAAACATGACTAAGAAACTATGAATAATAAATTAAAAAGCATGAAGAGAGACCATTTTGTTTCCCAAGCAGACAGAGAAGAAAAAAGCAAATGAGGCTGCGGTGGAATTTCCCCCCCAAAGGCACTGTCCCATGACTGTCACTCCCTCCACACTCTTCCATCTTACTTTTGTAATTCCAGTGGATGCTGGTGACTTGGATCTCCTGAGTTGGAATATATTCCTCAATAAATTTCTTTCCCTGCAGTCGGTGCCAGAGGGTGGTTTTCCCAGTGTTTCTGTCCCCCCGGATGACAATTTTCACTGGAGAAAAGAGCAAGCAGACAAATAAAGTGATTAAACACAACTTGAAGAATGCTGTGAAAAGCATGCTAACTTTTTGCAGGCATTTTTCAGATGTAATTAGTCCTCCCATACTACACAGGCATGATGGGGTTCATTAGAAAAAACAAGCCTCAGTTATTTAAATCAGTGCTTATTCAGTAACTCACACCAGCTCAGTAGAACAAGCCAACAGCAAGTTTGAATCTTCAGAATCTGCACGACTCCAGCCAGCTGAGCCTCTGCTGTTTGACAGACAGACTTGACCCCTTAAGCAAACCAGCAGCAGTTTGGTTCAGGCTTTAAAGGAAGCAAAGGGCTGAGCCATGGCTGGACCAAGAATTCCTCTAGGAAGGGCAGAGAGAAGTAGTGACACAGCCAGAATTAAGGTACGTGAGCTTGCAACACCACACCAACCACGGATTAACACAAGAATACCAGGTGATTTTTCCAAAACTCATTTATCAAGGAACAAAGAAAGATGTGGGCACAAGGAGTCTCCTGCACACCCTTCCCATTGAATGCAATCAGACTATGAGCCTCCACATTATCCCGTCAACATGACAGTCAGCATGAGCCTAAGAGCCTTCCCTGAGCTCTCTGTGCCTGGTGGTGTGGCTGCAAGGTGGGGACCTCCCCTGAAGCTGGGACACCTCTTAAGCTTCTCCTTGAGGCAAAGACCTTTTAGCCCTGACAGACTGGGAGTCTAATCCAAGCTCTTTCTGAACTGTGGCTGGACTGTCTGCTTGTGAGTCTCCCCTTCAACTGGAACACCTCTCTAGGTCTGAGGTCCCTTACCTGGGAATAAGAGATCCCTCCTTGCCCAATACATCTTCAGTAAGTAAATGATGGTATGCAGAATTAATACTAATGAAATTGATATGCAGTATTAATTATTATAAACTCTGTATAAATAAGTCCATTAGACATAAACTGTCCAAGTCCAAGTCTGAGACTAAGATCGGACCCAGAAGCACCTAGGCTCCATCAGGAGTTTAGAAAGGGGATCCCCTCTGAGCCTCATAACTCAACAGGAGGGTCTCTGTGTCACTCATTCCACCTCAATTCTAAGTCCATTTTCCCCAGGGTGTTTCATACATGCGGTCAGTAACAGAGTGAATATTGCCATCAGCCTCTGTCAAGTTGCACTTGGACAATATAATATCTAGACACCTTTTGCTTGTACAGCTGCTGTTCATTTGTTAAGCGATCTAAATCACCCATCTGCAACAACCTCCCATCCTCCTGCCTTCTCTACCTCTCCCTGGCCCTTACTCCTACTTTGTCACACCCTGTTCTGTTGCTGGCCTTTTATGACAGGCTCTTCCTTCCATTATCTCCTCTATAATTTCCCTTTCTCCTTAAACACTTCTCATGCCTCGAGAGAATATAACAACAGAATGATTTAGGTTGGAAAGGACCTTTAAGATCAATTATTCCAACATTCCCTCAGCACTACGAAGGCGATCAGTAAACCATGTCCCCAGGTGCCACATCCATGTGGTTTTTAAATCCCTCCAGGGATGGGGACTCGACCACTGCCTCGAGCAGCCTCTGCCAGGGCTGGACAACCCTTTCTGCAAAGAAATTTTCCCTAACAGCCAATCTAAACCTCCCCATGCACAACTTGAGGTTGTTTCCCATCCTGTTACTTGTTAGAGGAGGCTGATGTTCGCCTGGCTACAACCTCCTGTCACCAGGCCCCTGTGTTGGTTGCTTCAGTTTAGACAGAAACTCTGTCCAACTCTTCCAGGGAAAGCAAGTGTCCAAAATAACAAAAATTGTAGCAATTAATATCATGAACTTTCTAGAGTCAATTCAAACATTATCTTGCTCTTTCTGAAAACACTACCTTGTATTTTCTAAATTTTTTGTTACATTGTGGAAATTCTTTTTTTTAATGCCATCTTTGTTTTTACTGGCAACCACACAGCTACTGGAAAACATAAGGTGACCAAACTGAATTTTTATTATTGTGTTTTGATTTGGAGCTATGATCCCCTGGAAAATGGGCCACCTCAGAGACATCTAATGGCAGTCAGGTGATTAGCATTAGGTAATGCATCATTATTTGGGCAAGGAGATCTGAAACAGAAGGCTGCCTTCGGCTGCAGTTCAGGAGCTGCTGCAGTCATTTCAGAGAAGAGCTGAAGAGGTCAACTTGAAGATAAAGCACACAAAGTCTGTGGAGGAATTCTGTCTATTGCTGCAGTTCCACTGTGCCTTTTTTGTAGTACACAGACGTTTATTCTTTTTCAGAGCTGTTTATTATTTTTCAAAATGACTTCCCGCACCAGGGTAATAAAGGCAAAAATTAACATGGTATTTATAGGCTGACTTCACTTAAAGGTCCCAGAGCATCAGTGCAGACACAACAAACCAGTTCCTGCATTTCCGGTCACCTTGTGCATGGTTGTTGCCTACTTAGACATGGTAAAACAATCAAGCCAGTCCACGGCATAGTCAGAATGAGATTCCATTTGTCCCCTTTCAAACCCAAACCTTTCCAAGTGCTCTCACTGCCTGCCCTAAAATGTTCAAATTCATATCCCCCCCTGCCCCAGAATGCAGCATGAGATACTAAAACAGTGAGTTTTAAGGGACAAATAGACCCTTCCCTAAACAGGCTGCTTTAAGGTGCACTTTCAGGATCACTACCAGATGATGTGGTTGTGAGCTCACCCCAGAAGGGACAGTTTTACTTCACGCCAACACCACTTTTTATGCACTTAAACATGAAGCTGGATCAAGAAACTGAACTGGCTGAAAAATAACCTCAAAACGATCATTTTTCAGTTTTCTTCTCTAGCTCCAGTTCCCAGCTGAATGAGCAGCGTGAGCAGCACATGGAAGGCACAGCTGGAGTGCAAGGGAATGTCTCCCAGCCCTAATCAGCTCATGTTTCGGTCAGTGCAAGGTGCTTATGGCACCACATGCTCAGTCTGAGCAGGTCCAACGGCCCCTTCTGGCTCCAGAACTCTCCACTAGAATCTCTCTTCTCTTACATAGTGCACAAGTTCTCACTGACTCTTCTCCTGAAGAAAGAAAAAGTCTTTAAAAATGGAACAGGAAGAAGGCAGGTGACACAAACCGCTTTTAGCAAAGTGAAGTCTGTATTTGGGACTTTGGCTGGGGCATTTGTGTTCAGTGACAGGCACGTGCAAGGCAGGAAGGCCTGAGTGAGCTTCCAAGCACAGTCAAGCTGATGCATCATAGGCCCGGACTGTAGCTGAATGTGGAAAAAGGAACAAGAATTACAGGCGAGGTTAATTATATCAAGCAAAACTGTTGCCTTATTTTCATTTAAAGTTAAATCAGTACTTACTGCAAACAGCCAGAGGTTTATAGCAAAGACAGAAGAATTATCTGTGGGGAGAAGTGTAGTGATGGGGAGTAGATCAAGAGGCAAGGAAAAAGCTAAACAAATCACTTTATTCACATTGTCATTGCATCAGGAAAACCAGAGGGATTTCCATTCTCCAGATGGGGAAACGGAAGCAGAGCATTGACGATACAGGCCCAGAGAACAGGTCTGAGACCAGCTCATGACTAGAAATCAGGAATTCCCAGGTTTGCCCACATTCCTCCAGGACTCTGCAGCAAAGATCCTGAAACTAATAACCCTATGGAGAGGGTCATAACCTTACCCTCATCACGGTATTTGGGATTTCAATTGAAATGCTCCGAGCTTGTTCTGCTGCCAAAAGCAGCATTATCTGCTCTGCAGAACCCACCCAAGCACACTTCCCATAGGAAGCAGCAGGCCAGCACCAGGCAAAGCAGGGCTGGCACGTGCTGCAAAAACACCTGTGTCAGCCACAGGAGAAAACAAGAGAAGGTGGGAAGGGGCAGGAAGAGGAGCAGCCTTCCTTTTGGGAGTCATGCTGAGTGAAAATACTTAACAGTGAGTCTGGGAACTACAGCTCCAAAGCAACACAAAAAAAAGTAAGGACTATAAGGCTTACTAAAGAGGTACATGGTATTAATTAAGTTTTGTCTTTTAAGGAATATGTTAGGCAGAAAAAAATAATAAGGAGAGGAGTGGGAGGGAATTCTTGGAGCTACTGCCTTTGGTATTCCAGCACTGGTGACTGTTCAGCCTGTGCTCCAGGCACACACAGCAGTGGGGTTTGTCAAATGACACTCTGGACGCAGTGTGTAAAACTCAAAGCAAAGGTTCCATGTCTGGGGAATAGAATGGATGAACATTTGGCACCTCCCATGTATTTTGTTACGGTCTCTGATCAGCAAATCCCAGGACTATTGTTTGCCCATCACTACATTACATAAATGGTTGTGTTTGAGCACAGTGGTGCTCAAAATTAAGTTCTGCAACTGCTCATGTAATTTGTTGAAACAAGCGGCGCTGCCAAAGGGATGAGAGCCACTTCCTCTTACTTGCTCTTGCCATGCTCCCTCACAGGGCCAGCAGAGCCCTTAGAACAGTAATGCAGCACACCTGATCCAGGGTATCCCAAGCAAGAAAACAAGAGGAAGTTTTCACAAAGACTAGTTCCCAAGCCCTGGAATCATGATCCCTTGTTAAGATTTCAGCCATGACATACATGGCACAGACCCACGTCATTTTCAGCTCTGTGCTTTCTGAGTGCTCAGGGAACTCTGGTGTTAACTGGATGCGAACCACAGCAGCTCCATGTAGATGGAACAGAGTGTGTGCGTGCTGGAATGCAGTATGGAAATGCTTTTGTTTTACAATAGAATGTCCAAGCAAAGGACATGATTGCTGCCAAAGGCTGATATTGGTATCTGTTCTCATAATTTCATTAGAAATCTAAACCTTCCCACCTCACAATGCTCTTCCTTTTGAAAAGTTGACCGTGTAGGAGAGGTACCATCAAAACAAATCATTCAGGTTCAACTTAGTGCTCTATTCTACCCAGGCTCTGTAACTATCAGTGCCATTAAAACACCTCACAGCCTTCAGCACGACCTCAAACATGGGGGCTATCTGTTACAGAATCTACCTGAGAACTGCAGGGCTGGCGCAGCGGGGGCTGCTCTGAGCCCTGGGAGGCACCCAGAGCCAGGTACAAGGCCTGTGTCCCAGCCTGCTCTATCAGTGAACAACCCAACATATTCTCAGTATACTAAGTATATTTCTGGGAAGGAAACAGGCTTCATTCAGGATCTGTAGTGGTCTAATGCAGCAAAAAACCACTTCTGTAAAACAAATCACAGCGCCCCTTGGTTTAGGTTTAGGCAGTTTCAGGGAAACAGGAGTTGTAAAGATCTTTGTGTGCTAACGGTGGCTCCAAATCACATCCTGCGCTCCTCCGCTGAATGTCAGGAATTTGCCAAGAAAGGAGAAGTGGCAATGCACAGGATTTGCAGTTCTGCCCTTCCTGAGCAATGGCCCTTGTAATGCCATTCCTTCACATAGGAATGCTCCCCATCTCCCCAGTGCTATGGCTATGGGGGGGTACCCTTACTTTCATAAGCCAGCCTGTATCTCCTATAAATATTATATAACACTGACACTGGGAAGAGTTACTATGGAGATTGGAAAGCTTGCCTTAAGGCAGTGACAGAAAGCTGGGTTTTCAGCTACAAAGCAGCAACTGGAATGCAAGTCCTGGCAAGACAGAGCACAAACCAAAAATCTTTCCTGAGGCTTTCACTAATAAGACAAAAAGCAGCAAAGCTACAGTTAGCATTTTTGGCCTTGCACAAACAGCAGGCAGGTGCCCATGCACAGGTCTAGCATGATGCAGTCACCATGGAGCAGAGCTGGTCCCATCCTGTGCCAGCAGGATGCAGCTGATCCTTTCCATCCGCAGCACAAATCTCCCCTGTCTGAGAAGCCAGCTCCTGACTCTTACATAATTCACAAGCTGGTATTAGCTACCTGATCTCTGGCACTCGGCTGCCCATGCAGCACACTTCTTCTTGGTCTTCTGGGCTGTGGCCACATGAAGCCTCTGCACAAACCAACAGTCGAGACCAGCAGATCTCCAGTACATGTTTAAGGATGCAGTGCTGTGTTCCAAGGCAGCACCTTCATCCTCACCCCCATCTTTCACTGTAAACCCAGTCTCAACAATCACACTTCTATTTGTCTCATGCAGGATTGCTTGCTAAAACATTAATTTTATAAATTAAACAGCACTGGCATATCTGAGATGTGCTAGGGATAAAGGCACCAAATGCTTTCTCTAGTAAAGCAGAGCACTTCAAAACCTCAGTCCCAAAGCCAACAGACATAATATTAAACAAAGAAAAAAAACACCCCAAAATCCTAAGTGTAACTTCTTTATTGCATTCTGTTTCAGACCAAGACCCAACAGAAGCTCTATTCCTCCAATATGTGTGCCTTCACAGAAATTAACCAGTGCCACATTCACAAATCAGTCTTTTTCCCACCTGCCAATCTCTCAGCCTTCTGCAATCTGCCTCCACACAGACGAGCTGGTACTTGCAGCACTCTCTGGAACCAGCTCTATTTTCAGCAGGAATGACATAACTGCTGTCCCTATCTCACAATTGTTACTTTGGGATGTATTTCACATACTTGCAGTGCCCTCCTGAAACCCGATACTAGAAATCACCTTTACTGAGCTCCAAGGGAAAAATGCAGTCCTAAACCTCAACACTGAGAGAAAAAGAATTCTGAAAGCGTTCCTCGATAAAAGAGCAAATGTATCGTTGCAGAAAAGATAGCCAAGATGAAATGATGTACTAAGGGCACACAGAAGTATGTATTTGCTGTCCACCTTTTACTGAAGCCTGGCAGGGCTGAGCTTTTTAATAGACACTTATCGTACAACCACTACAGCTTAATTATAAGCATCATTATCCTGTGCTGCAGGGAAGATCACCCACGTACTCAGGGGAGTTACCCTCTTGATGCTCGAACTGACACAACCTGATGTACCAGGCACTCCCTCCTGTGCCACAGCCGGCAGGCAGCGCTCAGGGACGCTGCTGCACCGCGGGTCCCGAGTCCTGCGCCGAAAGACGAAAGTTTCCCATTCCGCACTCCTCCAATGACCTCCCACATTTAATTCCAAACCTGGCTTTGAGCGAATACGGATAAAAGCACCAACCTGCACACAGAAAGCACACGCACTCCCAGCCCCTCTGCGGTCCTAGGCACCCAGGGGGCACAGACAGGGCCGCCCACCTCCCTTCGGGCTGGCCCGGCCACCCGGCCCAGCGCTCCGACTCACTGTTATACTGGACTCCCTTGGCGAACCTCCTCTGCAGCGCCTGGTTCATGGACTGCAGCCCCGCAGGGATGTTTTTGTCGCGGACCGCAGCCTGGTCCGAGCCCACCAGCTTCTTCAGGGCCGAGAACATCTTCGTGGTCTCACACCTGCACCCCGGGGAACGGGCCGAGCGCGGGCTCGGGAGCCGGGCGGCCGCGGCGGAGGCACGGGGCGGCTCAGAACTGCGGCGGGGCCAGCCCGGCCATGCGGGGCGGAGGTGTGCGGGCCGGGCCCGGCAGGAGGAAGCTGCGCCGGGGGAGGGGAGGCACTATCGGGGCATGTCCCGGCGCGGGACGGTGGGGCCGCTGCCGAGGTCCGGCACGGGGCGGTGGGGCCGGGCGCTCAGCCCAGCCGGGGAGCGGGGCCGGGAGCCGGGCGGGGGCAGCGGAGGCGGCGCGGGGCTCCCGCCGCCGCCATCTTGGCTCTTCCGCCTCACCGCGGGGGGCCGGGGCGCACGCGGCGCGGGTACGGCGGCCGGCGGGGGACAGAAGGGCGCGGAGCGCCATCGCTGCCACGACCCCGGGAGCTTCCCGCCGTGACTGAGGGTCGAGTGCAGCCCGACGCGCCCGAGACCCCCGCAGCGTGACCAACACAACCCCGGCCGTGCCCCCGGGACCGCCACAGCCCCCCCAAGACTCCCGCAATCCCCTCTTGGCAGCTTCACAGCCCCCCATCCATGACCGTCGTAATGCCTCACGAGGCCGCGGCAGCATCCCTGGGACTCCCCCCAAAACACCTCTAATCCCTTCCTGGGACCCTGTGCCCCCTGGGACCGCCATAACCCGTGTCGTCTGCTCCTATGCCAGTCCCGTTTTCCCGTGACCCTCGAAACCCCCTAACTCTGCTGTGACCCTCACGGTCCTACCCGACACCCCGTAATCCCGTGCTGCAAACCCCATATAACCCTCCCCTGATTGCCCACCCCCCGTGCAGCCCATCTCGGCCGCACACGGGTCTCCCTGGTCACACCATAACCCCGAGACAGCTGCAATCGTTCACCCTTAGGGACAAGCAGACACTGGTCCCCTTCCCAGCAGCCCAACCCCATCTCCTGGGAAATGGGGGCTGGAGTCCACCCAGTGGCACCCCTGAGCCTCTCGGTGTCCCCCCAGCCCTGTGTGGGCAGAGGGCAGTGGCCTGAGGAAGGGTCAGAGACTCAGCGGGGAGAGCCCAGTAACCCCAAAGAGATGGGGACACCCACCAGAGAGGACCCCACAGCATCCTCTGCCCCTCCTGTGTCCCCCACCCTGCTCCCCACCAGCCTGAGGATTGACACTGGGCTCTTTGGTCACATGAGAGACATTTACTGCTGGAGGTATCTCCTGGGCTGCCACAGCTGTCAGCACTGTCCTGCACGACCCTGGTGCTGGATGCTGGCCCCTCATCCTCTGCCTCCATCAGTTTGAGAGCTGCAGGAACTCCTCGTCCTCTGCAAGTGGAGAGTCACAGCAGGTGATGGACAGACCCCCCAGAGCCCTCATCACCCTGCAGTCACAGATGATGGATGCTGCTTCCCACTTTATCCCTGCACACCCGTGCTGGTCCCCCACTTTGTGTCCCACCACACGCCATGGTGGCATTAGTGTACTTTATATTGCTGGCAGGGATTATAAAAGATGAGTTCTGCCCTAGGACAGGCTCCATCTCCCATCCATGGGGTCGGGCCAAGTCCCCAGCTCCCGTCCTCCTGGGAGTAGGCACGCCCAGGGCTGGATAAGGTGGAAGACACCTCAGTCTGCAGGATGATTTTCTCTGCCACACTCCTGACAACCTGGTCATCATTTTCCCTGAGGGATAAGTGGTACCTCTTGTGTCTCCCAAGGAGGTTCAGTACAGAAACCCCTGCACTGGCCGGAACTGGGGGGGCCTGGCAGGTATCACACCCCTGACAGGGACCCTGGCTTGGTCCTTAGTTGGTGTCAGGGTTCCTGCACCACCAAGTCTTTCAGCCCATGTCTGTCACCTCCACTGCTCCCCGCTGCACCCCAACCTGCCTGTGGACGTTCCCCCTCTCATCAAGACCATGCCAAAGTTCAGTCATGGCCTCAGCATGTCTGCAGCTTGCCCAGCCCCACTGTGCCATACTGTTTGTGGGTTAATGGCCATATTCCCTACCCAGGACAGATCCCTCCTAGGCACAGCACAAAACCATCCCACACCCATGACAAACCCATCCCAGCCCAAGGACAAACCCAGCCCGTGTCCGTCCTGACCCAGAATGACCCATTGAAGAAAGAGCACAAAACCAGTCCAGACCCATTCCAGAGCCAGACTGATCCTTAACCCATGACAAATGCATCCTAGGCCCATGATGGGCCCATCCTGGACCCATCCAGAGTCAGGACAGACCAATCCAGAACCAGGACCGCTCTGTCCCCATCCCAGGCAGACCCAGTGCAGGACAGAAGCTGTTGCAGGCTGCTGCCCTGGGGGGTGGTGGGGGGGGGTGGCAAGGGGAGTACCTGCCAGCTGAGGAGCCCCGCAGTACTCCTTGCACTCCTTCTCCGAGTAGAACTGGTTCCCGTTGCCCTTGCAGCCCCCATAGCTGAAGGTGATGCACTTGCCCTGGGCTGCGTCGAAGGCCCAGCGTGTCATCACTGCCTGGCAGGGTCCTGGGACAATGGGCAGCCTGCAGGCAGCTACAGGGACAGGAGCTGCATGAGATGGGGGGTCCAAGCACCCCCACACTTCCCACATGGATGGCAGACACATGGCATTTGAGGCAAGGCTCAGATCCTTTGTGATGCCTCAGCAAAGGCACCTCCAGTGCCCCAACCCAGCCGGGATTCTCACCCTCGGTCCGGCATGCCTGCAGGCACTCCTTTTCTGAGTAGAAGTTGTTGCCATTGCCCAAACAGCCTCCATAATGGAAAGTTTCACAGGCCATGGAGGAGGAGTTGTAGAAGAAGCGGGAGAGCATCCCGCTGCAGGGCCCGGGGTCCTGGCTCAGCCGGCATGAGTCTGTGGACCAGCACCCCACGGGTCACAGGGGAATGGGAGTGCAGGCCAGGGGCGTCCTGATGCAGCCCCCTCCCCTGTGACCTACCTTCCTTATTGCCAACGTAAGTGGGCAGGGGTCCTGCGGCTGAGCCCTCCTCCAGGGGTAGGACTGCTCTCCGTGCCCTCTGCACAGTAAGGAAGCACAGAGCTGCCATCAGTCCCTGTCTGTGGGACCTGCTGCCTACCCCATTGTCCTGAGGGTGGGCTGTGTCAGGGGCACCTCAGGCTCCAACCCTCCTCTGTGCTCCCACCAAGTCTCCAGTCACTGGTCTTGGGTCTGCAGGCTGTGATCCCTCCACACATCATGATCTTTCCAGCCCTGTGCTCTTCCAGGGTGGGGTCCACAAACCCAGATTGTTGTGGATTAAGACACCCCAAGTGCCCAAATCATGCCTCGTGCTGGTGCTGGGGGTGTGCCTCAACGATGTGTTACCTGCTCTGGAGTCAACTCTTGTTGACTCAGACATAGAGCTTAGACATACTCAGTCAACCCAGACATAGGGTTTTTTCTCCTATGAAAGTCTCATTCCCCCTGGAAAATCTTTCAACACTCAACCATGAGAGACTGGGAGGTGCTGAGTCATGGAAGTTGAAGAGCCAGTGGGTGTTAAGCTTCCCCATCCCTGGAGAAGGAGCCTACAGCCTGGCTGGGACACACACAGACAGGCAAGGAGCAAGGAAACATCAGCAACCTTCACACTATGAAAAAAATCAGAGTAGGAAAAGTCTTCCACCTGGAAATAAGCTCTTGTGCCCACCTGGCCACCAGGACCCACCCCCCCTGCAGCCTGTGCCATCCCTTCAGGCAAAGCCCATCAGCAGAGGAGGAAGAGCAACTCCAAAGATGGTCAGTGGAGCCACTGCCCAAACAACATGTCCTGCCCATGGATCCTTCTCCCTGGACACCCGATCTCCAGTGAGTTTGGCTTGGAGGGGATGTTTCTGGCCTTGATCCACTTCAGAGGGTCCCAGCTGGCCACTCACCTGGGGAGCATTTTCAGTCTCTTGAGGAACACATTCACCTGACCCAGAAGCAGGAGAGCAGATGAGCAGTGTGAGAGGAGAGGTGTCCTGACAAACTTCAGTGAGTCCAGCATTGTGCACATGCAGGACCCTGAGCAAGGGGACACCCTCCCACTTCCACCCAATGTTACTCCCCTTTTTCTGCTTTCCACCTCACACTCAGAAGCACCATCCTAAAATGCCCATTTCCCTGAAATCCCCACAGTCCCCCTGGGTTCCCCCAAAATCGTACACACACACACACACACCCCCACACATGCTCCATCCTGCTAGCCCCTTCTGAACCCCAGACTAAGCAAGGAGCCTCCCAGGTGCTGGCAGAACCCAGCTTGGAGACCAGACACAAGTGTTCCATGCCCTCATCCCAGCACAATGGTGTGTTTGCACTGACCTGACAGCCCAGAACTGACCCCTCTGGAAGATGATTTCTCTGGTAGAATCCTGACACGTGGCCTTATTTACTTTTCATCCCATGCTACCAATGCATTTGTCTCTCCTTCCTCCCTCCTGACCACCCCCCCTCTCCCCAGCTTGGCAGACCCAGAAGGAGCACCTGGAGTGCTCTGGCAGCATGAGAGGCATATGCCCCATGGGAGGTTACCTCTGTTGGCCAGGATGAAGATGGAGTCTTCAGGGATGCCCATCTCCAGAGCCAACTGATGGAAAGACTCAATGAGGTCCTCCCGTAGCTCCGGACTCCTCCCTGGGAAAGAGAATGGGCTGTGAGCAGGGTCGGTGTGGGAGTGCAGCCCCCAAGCACCCACCGAGCTCAGGTGGTTGCAGGCAGGTGCAACACCAGACTCCTGGTCCTTCCCAGCATAGAATCAGGGAAGCAAAGATTGAGCCAAGCTGTTGACCCAGCACTGCTATGTCCACCCTAAAACATGTCCCTGAGCTCCACGTCTACATGTTTTTTGAAACCTACTGGGCACAGTGATGTCACTGCTTCCCTGGGCAGCCTGCTGTTCTTGACCAAGGGCTTGGACAAAGTGGGTTTTATGTTTCTTAAGCATCTCCTGCTACTTCAGAGCTAGGTTTCCTCTAAGCAGATATCACCACCTTCATCCCAAACACGATGCTGGTTTGGATGTTCACATCAGTGCCTGATGTGGCTGTCATGGAGCCGTGAGACTCCACCTCTGCCATGCCAAAGATGAGGTGGTCTAAGCCACCATTTCCAAAGCCCATGGTCAGGTCCCTTAAGGCCAAGGGAGCTGA